AGGTACGTGTACCTCGTCAACTGGAAGGGTTTCCTTCCAGCCGGCGAGGTACATGTACCTCGCCAGCTAGAAGGGAAACCTTCCAGCCGGCGAGGTACATGCCTCGCCAGCTGGAAGGCAACCTTTCCAGCCGGCGAGGATGTGCCTCACCGGCCATTTATAGGGCGGGTATCCGAGGATATCCACTTGGATACCCGCTAAGGCGGGGGGATATCCGCCAGGGGACGCAGATGCCGCTTTCCCCGTAAAAAGCAACCGGATATCCGCATCTGCGCGGATATCCGGATGCAAAGTGCCCATCTCTAGTTGAAGGTGAGCCATGTATGTATATCTTATTCACTTGATTACAGTAAAAACCAGAATTTATTCTTCTTGCCCCTCTAATGAAATAGTACTCCCCACATGGTTTGTAGACTTGATGTATCAAACCAAAATCTCAATTGGTTACAGTGTAGTTTGCATACCAATACAGTGATAAGACAATAACAAAGAGCACAAAAGCCTAATCTGGGAAAGACAAATCAGATGCTCAAGACAACTTGGTTTGTCCACTGCTTTTATGGTATTCAAAGTTAAATTTCATAAAATCATAACCGCATAAATCATAAGATCTTAAAACCTTGTTTGCAGGGGATCTTGGTAATCTGATTATGTAAGCTTTGGCTTTCCCAGCCAAAATAGTTTATGATTATATGATTTATGCGCTTAGGACTTGATGAAATTTAACTTTGAATACCATATTTGAAGACAAGAATATTGTCAAAACATCAAAGTGAAATTGATCTTTGAACTTGTGTGATATAACATGATTACTTTCTTATAGTGACATTGTTGTTTTTACTCAGTGCACTGTAGATCTAGCATAATGTAAGTACAAGCATATCCAATTGTGACTAATGATGTGTAAAAGTTGTCCAATCAATTGGTGTGGCAATTCCTGTGAGCAGGGTGGAGTCATCCAGATTATAACTCCATTCAGATGATGAACAAGGGGGATAGCACAAGAGTCTTTTTTGGTTTGTCTCTTCAGACAGCCTGCTTCTTTTTGGGTGGCTCCTCATCTCCTCTTGACAGATTCTTGGCCCCTATTGGAATCATCAAAGCCCACTGCTCTACTTTGCCGATATCACCAAGGTTTCCCTTGAATATTTTCCCAGTTGTGGTTAGATATGGCTGATGTTTGTAAGTCAATTAAATATCAGATGGGACCACGAATTAAAGCCTTTGACTAGATTCTGACTTGTCCACCAGCTTCAGGGCTTTGTTGAGGCCCTCATGCTTGATCGGATGTGTTTTGGAAACAGTAATTTGAAAAAAAATTGCTGGTCCACGCAACAAATCAATTGATGCCAGATTTGGACTGCACGGCTTCCAGAACACATTGGTGTGTAGGTCAACTTCTTTGTAAGTTTTGAAGGTTTGACACCCAGCTTCAGAAAATGTGATTGTAATGTTCTGGCCAGTTTGTGGATCTCCTTTACCAAGTTGACGGACTTGAAATCTTCTGCCTTCTTGCAACAACCTTTGAGTTTGCATCTCAAATACCAGTCCACAGTATTTGCTACCATTGGAAGGAGTTTGGAGAAAGTTTTGAATGTCAGTTCAAAGTTCCTGTGCAAATCTGACCACCATTTCATGCTCAACTTGGGGCAATGCCCATGCCAATTGAAATTGTCCAAGCTCTCCACTGGGGTGACTACAAATTTGCAGCACACAATGTGAAAAATCTCTGTCACGAGTTCCACTCTTATGTGCTTTCATAAGATTGACAAATTGACCTTTGTGAATGGCTTGATTCATTCCCTGGACCAGAGCTTTCAACACCTTGTCCTCATCGCCGTGATGTTCTTTGAATGCAGTTGTTGCCATTTCAAGAACGTGTCTGGGCACACCGCCGTACCATTTGAAAACCCGGTCCATGAGCCTAGTGGGCAATATTTGTTCAGTTGGATAGAGAATGTCTTTGCAATTTTGCAATTCCTTGTAACTCCAAGGCGGCATATGCAATAGCTTTGAACCCCCTAATTTGCAAAATTGGTGGTAATAGTTGTGTTGTGGAGAGGTGACAAGGAGAGTCCAGGCCTCTTTCATGATCAGAGGTTGACCATCCACAATGTATATTGTGTTGGATTGCGCGAGAGCATGGATAAGGTGGAACTCTTAGTATCTAGCAGTTCAACACCACTAGATGTCATCAAATAGGTCACAGGATCAGCTCCTGGAAGTATGAGTGGCTCCCACACAACAGCTTTTTCCTGCGCATGCAGCATAGTAGGCAGAGAAAACAGTTTTTCCAATCCCAGGGGTACCGGTAACAACCAATTTGTTATAAGTGATGTTGTTGGCCTCAAAAAACTTGCACTTTGTAAAAGTGACTTAGTGTTTGTTGTCCAAGAATGTAAGATTCTTTTAGCTGCAAATATTACATCCCCCCGACGTTTACCAAAGTGGCCTCTAGTAGAGGCTTCCAGAAGCATACAAGGTCCTCTTCAACGTTTCATTTTGCTAGAACTAAGTGGAAAAAATGTTGAATAATCAAGCAGTAAGAGGGACAAGAGCTCAGCAAGAGCTTCAACTTGGGATTGCTGGTACAAGAGCTGGAATGCAGAAGGGATGGAGGCTCACCTTTCACTATAAGAGGAGTCTTCACAACACTGCTGGGGGTGAGTTGTCGGCAATTTTTGCAAAGGCTGAGTCTCTAGTCAGCGCCTCCACCATTCACCCTGCTTGTCAATGAGCATGCAGAGGCACTGACTAGAGACTCAGTCCTTGCAGAAATTGCTGCACAACTCACCCCCAACAGCATCTTGAAGACTCCTCTTATAGTTAAAAGGTGAGCCTCCATCCCATCTGCATCCAAGCTCTTGAAGTCACACAGATAAGGGAATTTGTTTCTTGCCGCCTTCACAAGTTGATCAACGAGCAAGAGTCCCTTTGTTTCAACCCTGACAAGGTTTCCCTTGAATGATAGCCAGATTATGGCAGAAATACCTTTTGCTATAAGAGGAGTCTCCGGGGCAACGTCCAATGTTACTACAAATAATGGGACACAAAATGTTTAGCGATCAAGCAGGGGGAGGGAGCACAGCAAAAGCTTTAACTTGGCATTGCTGGCATAAGAGCTTGGACACGGATGGAGTGGAGCTTCTCACCTTTCACTATAAGAGGAGTGTTTGAGATGCCGCAAGGGGATAGTGGTGCCACGATTTCTGCCAGGGCTGAAACTGTAGCCAGTGCCTCTGCATGCTCATCAACATGCAGGGTGATATCCGACGTGGCGACGTGACGCAGATAAGGCAAGAATTCGTTTCTGGCCGCCTTGGCGAGGTCATCGACGAACTCGAGCTCTTGTGTTGGAACGCTACTGAGCTTCTTGTTGTACGATATCCAGATTCTCTTGGGTACCATCCTCAGAGTGCAATGCGTGTGGACCGACTTGTGAGAGGAAAGCCTGTTGAAGTAAGGTGCTAAAAACAGAGCCTGCAAGACGGAAGAAACAAAAAACCTATCAATGAATGAAGAAGAAAGACAGAGAGAGGGAGAGATTCAAAGAAATCACTTACCGGTATGATTTTTAGTAACTAAACAGAACTAGATGACTAGAGAAGAACAGCGAGAAAGATGAACGAGGGTATAAAGATCAGATGTGAGTACTGCGAGTGAGAGTGAAGTTTATACAGCAAGAACTTCTGACCAAATTGCAGATTTCCCGTCCGTTGCTCCGAGTGAGCGAGTTGAGCTTGTTGTATGTCGTGAGGGGTCGATGTCGCCAAGGATGAGGTTGAGGGCGGTCCGCGGATAGTTGAGGTTGGTGTGTTGGGGGCTGGGCTGGCAAAGCGGGTCGGAATCAGCTTTAGAGAGCCTGACCCCCCGCAGGAGGGGCTTACATACATACACCTGTCACCTGATGGTCTGATGGAAGGAGACCAAAATTCAGTACCTCTTCACACTCCACACAATAGCCAATTAACTTCTCAAAGTCTGTGTCCCTGCTACAGTGTGGGGCACTATAACCTGTAAATGCATACAAGATGATGCTAGAGAAGTCTTGGAAAGTAAATCACTCAAACACCTCATACTTTCTTTCTTTCTTTCAGTTTGTTTTTTTTTGGCAATCATCCAATCTTGAAACAGATGGATTTATAAACCGAAAATACCATAATCATATCATCAAAGAAAAAACAAGAACCAAAAAAAAAAAACGAGTGGTAGTAGTAGTAGTAGTAGTAGATCTGGAGAATTAAACAGGTGTTGATCAGGCCCCCCAAAAAAGTCTTAGGAAAAGGGGAGGAGGAGGTTTTTTTTTATCAAGTTTCACTAGATGAACATTGAAGATGAAAATAACAGTATAAAAAAATGGAGGAAAGAGATTGAGAGCAACAAGAGCAGGATCAAAACAAACAAACACATTACGCTTGACCGGGCCACAGACAATATATAACCAGCAACAAAGCATAAAAAAAACCTCCCCATTGTTCAACCAACTATTAATTATTCAGACCCATTCATTCCACCAGGGACGCTTCTTCTAGGTTTATATTTAGTAAAGCTGCCATTGAATGCCTTATTATTTTGATAATTACCTGGTCCACCACCAGTACCAGGAGCAGGGTTGGTGGTGGTGGTAAGGTAATGATGATTATGATTAGGACTCCCGCCTCTAGAATGATAGCCGCCGTAAGAACCTCGACTGCTCCGGGGATGATGTTGTTGATGATGGTTTGGATAGGTTTGATGGTAGCCTCCTCCAGAGTGAGGATGGAAGGGCTGCTGATGATGACCGCGATAACTAGTTCGATAAGCGGATTGAGGTGAGAATTGTTTGCGGGCCTCGATCCGAGCTTTGATGCCATCGGTGCCAGGGACATCGATCCCTCCCAGGGTCCCATTGATATTCTGACTCAATCTGACCGCCTCTCTTGCCCCACAAAGTTGCTCGAATTCGAGGGAGATAAACTTATCCACCGAGGGTTTGGTGGGGTCGGGGGAGGTGAAGTCCTGGACGGTCCATTCGACCAAGCTCCCCGCGTGCTCCTCGATCGTCCGTTTCAGTTCCTCAAAGTCTACCGTATTGGGCAGTCGACGAATCAAGCATCGGGTCGAGGTGATCAGGTCTGGATTGAAGGTCCTGTTCGTATCTGACATCCGTCGACGCTCGATGCCTACTACCATCTTCTCATTCGTCTCCTGATTCATCATCACCACTAATCCGTCCGGACCTCGCCCAGCTTCGACGGCTTCTTCAGCTGCCTGTGCACTCCCGAAACGTACGAACCCTAACCGTCGACTTCGGTCCATCGTCAGACTCCGGACCTCCCCAAATACACTCAGTGCATTGTGTAGATCGCCGTTGGATAATGCACTGGGAATGTTGGCCAGAAAACACTCGGCAAATGGATCGCTAGTTTCCTCCGAATGTCCGCTCGCTTGATCATCATCAGTTGCTACAGAGGTTGGATTGAGATTCTTCGAGCCTCCTCCAGGTGATCGAGCGGCAATCGACTTGGAATGGTTTGATTGATTGGCATTGGAGGTCGAGGATTTCGGATGGCCTGGTTTCAGATCGCTGTTAGACTCGTGATCTGATTTGTTGGTGTTGCTGTTCAGGTGTTTGATGATTCGAGCTGGAACTCCTGCCATCACTACGTTCGCGGGTACATCTCCCCTAACCTATTGATGATAACAAGATTGGTCTTGATCAATGAATTGTCTCTCTGAAAATATGACTGATTCCACTGACCACCGCTCCAGCAGCTATTGTAGTGCCTGATAAAAACAAAACAGAGCAAATGGTGATCTTGTTAGTGGTGATCAGCAGTATTAAGGAAGATATAAATGTGTGAATCTTTTGACAAGGGGAAAGGGAAACCAAATGGATACCATTTCCAATAGTGCATGGGCCGATCAAGATCGCCCCGCCTCCGATCCAAACATCGTCGCCAACAGTGACCGGATAAGCCCTTTCAAGACCCTTTTGCCGTTCACATATCTCCGTCGAATGTGTTCCTGCATATCTATTTATTTTTTTCAAATCAATCAATCAAACACCAAAACGATTGAGTCAATTCCACATTGCTCCTTTCTTATTTGGGCGGGTGGTGATCGGCTATCATCAATCTTTACATTTGTACATTCGGTCCACAAATCACTCGACTACCAAACACCACCTGTTCACAACAACAACAACAACAACAACAACAAATTGGAACGAAGAAGGTCGATCCATTTCAGTTGCAGTTGGTGACGATGTTTTATTTGGGATAATGAGTATCTGAATGAGCGAAAGTTGACTAACCGGTGCACAATCTAAGACGTGACAGTTGAAGTTACAATAAAACTGCAGAAACCATTTTTTTTGTTATTTTCAGTCCATCAAAATTAACCGTACTGGTGTGCTGAAAGAGGGAATGTTTGTTGTTGATGAAGAAGCAAGACGGATCGGCTTACTGGGCCTTTGAAAGTGATGTTTGTGCCCTAACAGACAGAAGGAGAGAAAGGGTCAACAGGCATTCTTAACCACTTGGGATTAGATTTGAAGGGGATATGTATTTTTTTGGAAGAGGAAGAAGAAGAAAGGACGAACATAGTCGCAATAGAAAGGGGGTTCGATTTCGAGTGGTTTCTGTTTGAGATCATCGAGTTGCAAGTTGAAGAGTTCAGCCAAGAGGGCCCTTCGATCGTCGGGACCAAAGTAATCGGGGTCTGGATCATCGGCCTCGTAAGTCGGCCAAGGATAGCCATTGTATCGTTGCATTAGTGCTCGGGCTCGGAGTCTTGCTTTCACTAGTTGTGGATCCGATGCCAGATAGGCCTTTCCTGTTGTTTACCACTCACTTTTTGTCAGACTTCTCCGATTCTCGGTTTCCTTGTTCTCTTTTTATTCTCTCTGGGAATGCATACAAGCCTCTGTTTTTTTATGAGAAGCAGGGAAAAGAAGTAGAGTGGTTGACTGACCGGTTAACATCTTCTCGTTCTCTGTCATCGTGGTGGCGACTGATTGATTGGTTCGAGTACCGGTTGGAGTGTGTTTGGGAGGCATCAAGAGTTGAGTATTCTTTTTTTTTTCTCTATCGGCTGGAAGATGATGATTGTTCTTTCGATGCTTTCGAGGTGTTTGAGTCAGCTTTTTTGTGGGGAGGGGGGGGATTGTGACAATTTGTTTTGAGTCGGCCTCCTTCTCAAGACACAGCTGCCGATCCAACTTCCGACCTACTCCCACTACATACAACACCCCCAACTAGAAAAAAAAGAAAAGAAAAAAAAGAAAAGAAAGAACAAAGCGAAGGTCCACCTGTCACAACTACAGTAACCTATCACAGCTTCGGCCACACTGGTTCCCTGCTCATGGGTTAGAAAATGAAAGACTCATATTGAAACCTAGGCACTGCTGACAGGCATGACTGGGCTTTGATTGGTGTGAATCAATTTTTTTGTAAGAAATCTCAAATCAGATGAGCTATCTGAAATTACCTTTGACAAACAAAATGGAGAGAAGGCATGCTTGGTGCCTTCATTGTCTCAGCAAGAACTTAGGATCCACCTCTCCCCCTACAGCTTGCTCAAGAAACAAAGACCTAAAAAGTTTTCATTGATTTCTAGATTTTGTCTGGAACTAGCACAATCTGGGCTATAAATTGCATGTCTAGGCATAGGAAAATCCAGTCCCACCAATCCTGCATCTTTGTTTCATGGATTGGCAACAGATGACCCTAGATGTCTAATCACACCACATATTCCCCAGACTTGCATAGGATGTTAATTGGTGCTTCACCATTAGTAGTTAAGTTCTTTTGAATTTTAACCAAAAACACATTGATTTTGGATGGGAAAATAAACTCCAAAAAAGATGAAATACACTCTAAAGCAATCATAGCTGCAAGCCATGTTCCTCACTTTAATAAAATCTACCATTATCTTCCCCAGTACTTACCTGAAACTGGATGACTTCCTGTCACAATCTCCGACCCTCCCAGAAGTCAATTTACACCCCTTGGATCTTTTTTTTTTCATCAAAAAAACCCATTTTTTCCATGAAGCCTTTCAGGAACAGCTCTCATGGGAGTTGGTTGAAATCTTGATTTTGTTTCTAATTTAGGACTGAGGGAGGTCTGAAAAGCATTCTAAGTTGTGACGGGAAGTCCTCCACCAAAAATTTGACACTTTAGTAATAAATTCCCTAAGAATCACTCAAAAAAAACCACAACCATTGTTTTATTGTTTACTTAGTGAAATTTTGTTACACTGAGAATTGAAAGTAGGAAGGATGTATGAGAATACAATTGATAGAGTTACTCATTGTGCTTATCTCATTCTCTACACTGTCCAGATCACTGAATTCACCAAATCCAGTGGCATTCAATTGATTACTATCTAGTTTCCATTGAATTTCTTGTCTTTTCTGTCTTTGTGCTATTCAAATTTCACCTACATGCATTGCCACACTTGTCTAGTGATAACTTGTCAGCCATAGAGCACCTTTCACAGTACGTGAAATGTACCTACTAACTCCAAGATAATAATTAACTGAATACAAGTAAAAATTACACCTTATAAATAAATAAAGATGTATTTACATTTAATCTTAATTCATAATTTATATTTAATAATTCAATAATTAACTGTGAAATCCCCTTGATTAGTGTACATATAATATCACTAGGATTTCACAGAAATATAATTAGAATAAGGCAATAAAATGATATTTATTCTTATACATTATGTACATATTTTATAATCCATAAACTAATTACATATGTATAAGAAACAGCTAGTAGAAGCATGAAATGGATGAGGAATAAGCTATATAAACTTACCCAAAGCTTACCCACCCTTGATCACATCATCAGGCCATCAGATTGCATCATAAACCTCTTGGATGCCGTCATCAGGACCCTTTTGTGCTCTAATTCAAAGCTTGCATAATGCAAAGTAGCCTACACGGGAAAGGAGCCCAAATTCTACATGCAAGACTGAACTATGAATGCAGAACATGCATTTCTCATGATCACAAGCTTGCATAATCTGTATGAATCTACTTCTACAATTGCACAGCCCCTGCACAGTAACTGCAGCTCTTTGAATTACGTGAGAAATGGGCCATAAATTCAATTATGCATGTATGATATCATGTCCTAGGACCTTCCACCCATGCAAAGCACTGCACAGCTACAGTTCCCATATTTGAACAAAACTGTAGAGCTGCTAGGAAGATCCCTGGTTCCCTGAGGGCCTCTCCTCTTCCCCTGAGCCCTCTGTAGAATATTTAAGGAGCCCAGATTCCTACCTTTTCCCCCCAGGAAATTCTAGTAGCACCAAACCAACACTTGTACTGTGATTATCAGTGACTTAAACCACCAATAACTCTACAACTCAGCTACCTTAGACTTGAATAGATTTACTTTGATCAGTATCAAGGCAATTCTACTTATCTCTATTGCATAAAGAGTTATCCCCCAGGTTAAACAATTCTGGTCCTTAAGTGTTGGCACACTTATTAAGCTAGATTGTTGTTAAAAGACTTATCCCAAGTGAGTTGAAGAAGTCCTCACCTTGGAAGCCTATTAATCCATTCAAGAGGATTGATCCGAATGCCCAATTGAATCATTGGATGAGTCAGCAGTAGAAGTTACAAGTACCGTTCCTCACTGACTGAACTCCTCCCCGTTTCTTTTACAGGTTGATGGATATAACCACAAATAAAACCTTCTCAATTCACTTGTTTTTAACACTCAGAGCACAACCCTTACAGGTTAGTAGCATAGAGGCTGACATAACTGGGATTGATGGATGTGCAAGGACTCTTTCTTCATCCTTTCACAACCATCACACCCCAGGCCACTTGTCAGCACATCAATTCTGATTTGTTGAAATTCAGCTCATCAATCTCTCCCTCTCTTGCCTTTTTTTTACTTTGTCACATGTCACTCACTTGTCTCTGGTATCCTTCCTTATTTCTTATTCAATATGCATCAAATATTGCTCCCATATCTTGTGCATTTTGTATCTAGACTATTTATAACCCTAGATATTAAGAAATAAAAATAAAAACATTGGTTCTTTATGCTTTTCAGGTTGTTCCTGAAGTAGCACTTGAGCCCTCTTTCAGTATTGTTTGGGAGCAGTTGAGCCCTTCCAGCAAAATCATAAAAGTAATATTTAGACCTTTCTGCCAAAACTTCAACATGATTTGTATCACCTCCACAGGTCAAATTGTTGTGATGAACAGGAAGTGAATAATCAACAAGAATTGGGAGCTTGCTAAGATGATCATGAGGTCCAAAATTCATCCCCCACCTCCAACAAAAGGGCAATGATACTCGCACTCCTCCCCCCTCCCCGCACGCCCATGGCCACGCCCCTCCCAAAGGGGCGTGCAATCCCACCCGCCCCTCCTGGAGGGGCGGGTTTGATCGCACGCCCCTCAGAAGCGTGTTTTTTCAATAAAACATGCTTCTGAGGGGTGTGCACAAGAACCCGCCCCTCCAGGAGGGGCGTGTGGGCTTGCACGCCAGCCAAGAACCAACATAGGTCGGTTCTGGCCTGGCGGGTTGGCTGATGTAAGCAAGACACTCTGGAGTGTTTTGCTTACATCAGTCCGCCTAGACCATGGAGACTACGCTCTCCATGGCCATAGGAAATGTACAT